ACCAGGAATAGCAATTTTACCCTATAGAAGTTGAATGAATGCACATTGTCTCCCCCAAAACACTCGTTGACCTTTCGCCAACCACATACTTTTACTTCCCAATATGTTTGCAACTTCCTGCGCCATAGTTTTCAAAAGGGCTCATGCAGCGCAGATTGCAATATCCATAACTTTAGGATGGTGAGCTACCGAAAATATTTCCACTATGCAGATTTTTATTCTCTTCTTGGTGATAAACTTTGTTTTGAGCTAATGTTGTTTAAACTGACGGAGCAAGATCCAAATAACATTCTACCCTATTACATACGGATGTTTAGCGTACAGAAATTTTAGAACTATAAACGAAACGTTTTGGATCCACGCTAGAAACTTAAAAAATGAAGGGAGAATCCTTCGCAGCCTGCGCTAACCTACTCCCCATCCAGGTCTACTCTTCTGACCTGGAAATCTTTATTAAGTCAATGGCCCACCTGGTCTCTGTTAATTACCGCGACTGCAGCAAAGCATCATCGACAGTATCAAAAGGTTAGAATTTGGTTATGCAGCTAAGCATGCACAATCAAGCCCTAGGGCTTCATTTGCATAACCGCGGAGGCGCTAGGTCGAATAAGTTACAAATTCCTTCGAGGTAGTAAGTCTCAGATTCAAGATTAACGTAGACAGAAACCTGCTTCTCTGTAAATTGATTCAGAGCTGCGTGAAGCCCACAGAATGAAATCAAGACTCCAGGAAAGTTGACCTTAATGTAAAAAAACCTGAAGAAGGTAGTCTTTCTTTCCAGAATAACTCAGACATACCCTTCGAAAGCCGACAAGTACGTACAGACTGGAAACCGTGTCTATGATCAGCCAGGAAAGCAAGATGATGATGAAGAATATGATGAGGTAATCCTTCTCGAAGACAAAGCGAATCTGTCTTACCAAACAACTAATAACAAAAGAATAGCCGTACTAGTAATTCGATCGAAACTACCACATGATGTGATCTTGGTCTTAACCATGAGCTCCTAAGTCTTCATTCATCGATTCTATTTTCTTGAGGGGATGGTACCGATTTCACCTACGCCACCCTCATTGTACTTTACGAAATTTGCAGTTTGATCAGCAACTTCTTAACATCATAGCTCAATATCCTTATCAACCTTTTTAACGACTGTGTTCCTTGTGCAACCACTCATTGGCAAGAGGTCAATCCGAAAGATAGGGTTTGACGAACTATGTTTCTCCCACACTGCCATTGGTTTGGCTGCTTAGATAAGATCAAACCCCATGTAAATGTTGTCCATCGTGAGATTGAAAGGAAAATGAAACCTCATAGCAACTTACAGGTTGTTAACCTCCATTGAGATTTATGTAAATCACGATTGGACAAGAGCAACAGCCATCTCTAAGTCAACCCGTAGCTACTACTCTTGATCACATCACATCATGAGGTGACGTCCACAAATTGCTATTATCCCATTCTCGCAATATTCTGTTGAATCATACCAACTCATGATGGGACAGCGCATTCCTTGAGCATTCATTTGAAGTAACAAATATATCTTCGGTTTGACTAGTTCGTGTTAGGAAAGCAATAGCACTATCAGCATAGATATGAGTTTTTTGCTGTCAACCATGCATTCCAGGAAGACGAAAGTGAAGAAGACGAGGAAGGCGTTGAGTACGATGAAGCTGGAAATCGCATCGTGCCTCCTAGCACAAAGCGATATATCTATACAGTATTTGACTGAACTTAGTCATAACTTTATAAGTTGCAATTATCCATCAGTGATTTAAACAGCAGTCGATTTTTCAATCACCAATCAACGATCTCAGTACAAATCTTTCATCTGTTTGCACATTATACCTTGCCTTTTTGTGAAGATCGA